ATAACCACTGAGCCATCTCTCCAGCCTCAAGTTCTGCAACTTGTACTAGGTACATAATGAGTCATGTCAGGCCACTGGAATGGTGTTTGTGGACCCTGCTGCTTCCAAAGGTGGGGCTTGTCATGAGTATAAGGCAGCTCCACTTGATCCACTCCACAAGCTCACTTCTTGCTCATTTTCAAAATTTCCCGCATAAAAGCCAGGGAAATCTGCATTTAAATGTCCAGATTTTCCCAGGCCTGGTGGTTCTTGTCTGTAATCCCAGCTCTCAGGTGGAACATGCTAGGTCTCTGAAACAGAGCACTATGGTTAATCTGAAGTCTCTGTCCCTTTGTGTCCCTGACTAACCACCCTCTTGGCTGACCTCCATGCTGACTCAGCCAGGACAGGCACTACTGACTTCTTTCTGTTGGTGGCTGCTGCCCTCTGCTGGCAGCCCAGTGATCTGCATCCAGGGAGCATAAACCTAGATCCTGGGTGCAAATGATGCTGCAAACAGAAGCCACATATTTCCTGAAACTCTGTGGGCCGTAAGTACCAAAGGAACCCGGAGAACTGAACTTCAGATCGGAACACACACACACACACACACACACACACACACACACACACACACACACACACACACACACACACACACACACACACAGAGTCACCAAGACCCAAGGCATAACCATGCCGCGAGCTTTGACCTGGGCCTCTTCCTCTTCAGGGCTCTTTAGTTCCCACCCCTTGAGAGATAAAGCCCAGACGGGTCCTCTGAGGCAAACCAGGTAGATCTCCTAACCTAGGGCCTCATCTTCATTGCATTACAGAGTTTTCTACCCAGCATGCCTTCATGCTCTGTCCAGGGGCCAGGACTAAGCCTGGGTGTCAAGGGTCTGGGATTAAGATGTAGGTATCTAAACCAGGTGGTGGTGGCTGGCACATGCCTTTAATCCCAGCACTTGGGAGTCAGAGGCAGGTGGATCTCTGAGTTCAAGGCCAGCCTGGTCTACAGAACTAGTTTCAAGACAGCCAAGGCTACATAAAGAAACCCTGTTTTGAAAAACAAACAAACAAAAAGATACAGGCTCTAGTTGGAGGTTTCTACCACGTTGCTCTTTCCCTGCGATGGAGACAACACCCTTTAAAACACACACACACACACACACACACACACACACACACACACACACACACACACACCACACTGATAGGCATGGCAGGCGCGTGCCTTTAATCCCAACATTTGAAAGGCGGAGGCCAGCCAGAGGTACATAGTGAGACCCTGTCTGAGAGAGAGAGAGGGGGGGGGGGAGGGACGGAGGGAGGGAGAGGGAGAGGGAGAGGGAGAGGAGGAGCGGAGAGGAGAGGAGAGGAGAGAGAGGCAAGGAACCCCCGAGAGCCAGGGGAGCTCCCACCCAGCATCAATGGAGCAACCACACAAGCAGGGAGAGAAGATGAAAGAAACTTAGAGACCGGACAAGGTGAGTTTACCTCCACGGAACCAGTAAAGATGCTGAAGCCTTCTCTCCATTTCCTCCTTCCTCTTCCTCTCTCCCCTCCTTCCTCTTCCCTCTCTCCTCTCCTTCCTCTTCCCCTCTCCTCTCTCTTCCCCTCTCCTCTCCCTCCTCTTCCCCTCTCCTCTCCCTCCTCTTCCCCTCTCCTCTCCTTCCTCTTCCCTCTCTCCTCTCCTTCCTCTTCCCCACTCCTCTCCTTCCTCTTCCCTCTCTCCTCTCCTTCCTCTTCCCTCTCCTCTCCTTCCTCTTCCCTCTCTCCTCTCCTTCCTCTTCCCCACTCCTCTCCTTCCTCTTCCCTCTCTCCTCTCCTTCCTCTTCCTCTCTGTTCTCCTTCCTCTTCCCCACTCCTCTCCTTCCTCTTCCCTCTCTCCTCTCCTTCCTCTTCCCTCTCTCCTCTCCTTCCTCTTCCTCTGTTCTCCTTCCTCTTCCCCTTTCCTCTCCTTCCTCTTCCCCCTCCCCTCTTTCCTCTTCACTCTCTCCTCTCTGTTCTCCTTCCTCTCTTCTCTTGTTCATGTCCTCTTCCTTCCTCCTCCCTTCCTGCCTCCCATCCACCCACCTTCCTTTCTCTTTGTGCCTGTTGGGATGGCCTCCAGCTCATCTTGTTTTGGGGACTTTGCGTGCTCCTTCCTCCTGAAGGACCATCCTTCTGGAAACCTTGCTCTCCCTGTTGGAGCAGCCAGCATCACTTCCATTTGCGTGTTGCCAGAGACGGGGGATTTCCCATGCCCTGGGCATGTCACAGCGGTGGAAAGGGAACCGGGCTCTGCATGGCTGCCACTGCTTCTGTTTCTTCTCTCCTGGACAGGGATGAAGGAGTTACTTCTTTTTGTTTGTTTGTTTTGTCTTTTGAGACAAAGTTTCTCTGTGTCACAGCTCTGGCTGTCCTGGATCTCGCTCTGTAGACCAGGCTGGCCTCGAACTCACAGAGATCCACCTGCCTCTGCCTCCCAAGTGCTGTGATTAAAGGCATGTGCCACCACCACCACCACCAAGGTGAAGGAGATACTTCTTGAGAGGCATGCTCTGGTCACCACCACCAGAGAGGCTCCCCCTCCCCCCTTTTCTTTATTAGCACAATAAAAAGAAAAACACATGCACCTGATTCCATCAAAATAATGAACATTTTTATTGCAGGATCTTATGAACAGACTGAAAAAATGGTCATCTAACATGAGATTGACACCCAGAACAACAACAACAACAAAATAAGCTGGGTCTGGTGGTGCACAGCTGCAGTCTCCAGCACTTGGGAGGTGATGGCAGGAGGATCAGAAGTTTAAGGTCACACTGAGCTACATGGGGGGAGGGGTTCAAGACCAGCCTGAGCAATATGAGACCTTGTCTCAAAACAAAGAAACATGGGGAGAAAACTGTAGACTCGGACTCCACGCCAGTGGCTCTCCAGGGAAGCCCCAGGCTTTCAAGGTTGGATTGGGACTACTGAGGCATCTAGCTTCCGGGATTGGGAACCTGGTTCTCTGCATCAGGGTGCAGACAGCCATTGCTAGACTCCCAGCCCAATATATCCCCTTCTGTTGGTTCCATTCCTCCAAGGAATCCCCCAGGCCTAGGAAAAACGTGTCCACTTCTGTGCGCACATGAGTACAGTGCCCTGAAGAAGCCAGCAGAAGGCCTCTGATCCCCTGGAGATAGAGTTACAGACGGTTGTAAGCAGCCTAGAATGGGTGTTGGCAACCAGACCCAGGTCCTCTGGAAGAGCAATAAGAGCTCTTAACCCCTGAGCCACCTTCCCAGCTCTCCTTTTTCTTTCTATACAGCTTCGGGAGTCTACCTGGGCTACACAGCGAGACCCTATGTTTTGTTCAAAAACAATAAAAAATACTGAACTGTACACTTCAAAGGGATGAATTATAAATCAATGAAAAGAAAAACACATGCACCTGATTCCATCAAAATAATGACCGTTTTTATTGCAGGATCATATGAACAGACTGAGAAAGTGGTGCACAAAAGTAGGGGTGTTCATAGAACACACATCTAACATGAGATTGACACCCAGAACAACAACAACAAAATAAGCTGGGTCTGGTGGTGCACAGCTGCAGTCTGCCGGGTATGCTGTGCACTGCTGGGTCTCACTGACCCTGAAGCTGAGCCACTCAGCTAGGCTGGCTGGTCACTGAGCGCCAGAAATCCACCTGTCTCCACCAGAGTTGGGGTTACAGATGGGCACCATCTTTTCTGGCTTTTTATGTAGGCATCAGGATCTGAACTCGGGTCCTCATGATTGTGCAGCAGGCACTTGGCCCACTGAAGCCCTTGAACAAGCCCCTACTTGATTTCTAATTCATACATCGTAATAGTGCGTGGCTATGGGGAACATATTGTATTGTTAATGAAAGCTCCAATCAGGGCAGTTAACATCTCCACAGCCTCCAACGTACATCAACTTTTTCTGATGATAATATTCTTGTTCCTCTCTTCTACTGATTTTTTTGTTTGTTTGTTTTTGTTTTTCGAGACAGGGTTTCTCTGTGTAGTTTTGGTGCCTGTCCTGGATCTCACACCGCCGCCCGGCTCTTCTACAGATTTTAATATACATATTACTGGGCCCGTAAGATGGCTCAACAGTTAAGACCTCTTTGTTGCTCTTTCGGGGGACCTGGACCCATGCACCTGCTCACAATCAATTGTATCGCTAGTTCCAGGGCAGTGTTTCTCAACCTGTCGGGCACAACCCATTTGGGTCGAATGACCTTTTCACAGAGGTCGCCTAAGACCATCAGAAAACACAGATATTTACATTACAATTCATAACAGTAACAAGAATTACAGTTATGAAATAGCGACGAAAATAATTTTATTGTTGGGGTCACCACAATATTAGGACTGTATTAAAAGGTCACAGCATCAGGAAGGTTGAGAACCATTGGTCTAAAGAATCCGAACCCTCTTCTGGCCTCCGTGGGTTCTGCACCAATGTGGGGCTTTTAAACTACAAATGCTCATACACATAACAAAAATAAATATTTCTTAATGTCTTTAAATGCTTTATTTTATATGTATGGGTATTTTGTTTGTGTACCACATGTGTGCCTACCAGAAGAGGGTGTCAAAGCCCCTGGAACTGGAGTTACAGATAGTTGTGAGCTCGGAGTTGAAAGAACAGCCAGTGCTCTTAACCCCTGAGCCGACTCTCCAGCCCATAAATAAATCTTTTTTTTTTTTTTTAATCGTGCTTGAACGTGATCCTGCCGCAGTAAGCATCCCTGCGGCCTGCAGCTGCCCTCCCACCCCACTCACAGGGCTGCACAGCTCCGCACAGGCAAACCTGGAACCTCAAGATCCCACCCAGACCATCGCCGCTACACCGCCCGCGCAGGCGCGGGAACCACCGTGCGCAAGCGCTGAAGCCACTATGGCTCAAGCGTCGAAACTACAGAGTCAGCCTTTGCTAGCCCGGGCGGAAGCGGGTACGGCCACACTCGAGGCGCATGCGTGGGACCTGGAATTCTCGCGAGACACTGGGCGGGAACGCCCGCGGTGATTTCCTGTGTGGAATCGCTGAGGGGCAGCTTGGCCGCGTCACCGCCATGGACCCCTTCCTGGTACTGCTGCACTCGCTGTCCGGCAGCCTGTCGAGCAGCGATCTGATGGAGCTAAAGTTCCTGTGCCGTGAGCGCGTGGGCAAACGGAAGCTGGAGCGCGTGCAGAGTGGCCTGGACCTGTTCTCAGTGCTGCTGGAGCAGAACGATCTGGAGCGCGCCCGCACCGGGCTGCTGCGCGAGCTGCTGGCCTCGCTGCGCAGACACGACCTACTGCAACGCCTAGACGACTTCGAAGCGGGGACCGCGGCCGCGGCCTCGCCGGGGGAGGCAGGTGGGCTAGGGGGCGGGAGGAGGCCCAGGGGCAGGGAATGGGCGGGGAAGCCTGGCCACTGCCCTAGCCGCAGGGTTCCCTTTGCGTGCTCCTGCTAGGAAGGACTCTGGGGCACGCCCACTTTTCCGGAGGGCGAGCCGGGTCTAGGGAGATTGTGAGGTGGTGTTGCTTGCAGTGCCGGAGTTGAACCTAAAGTATTGCTCGTGCTAAGGAGACGCTCGCTCTGCTACCGCTTGCCCCAGCACCAAGATAACTCACCTGAGATCTGCAGTGCTTGCGCGCCCCCCCCCCCCCCCCCACACACACACACTCTCCGGGTAAATTGAAACCTCAGCTAAGAAATGGATGTGGCTAAGGCTCCCTAACCCCAAGGAGGGTAGAGGTGAAGAGAGTAGGCAAAGGTCAAGTGTGCCTGTTGCTCGTCACCATTTCCGTAGTGGGAGTGCCTTTGCCCAAGCAGTGTGCTTCCTAGCCAAAGGAGAACAGTGCTGCGGCCCAGCTCCCCGGTCCAGAGTCCACAGTGCCTGGTTATCCTCTGCCACTTCCGTTTTGTAGTAGAGAGGAGGCACTATGGCTTCCCATAATGCTCAGTAGTGGATAGCAATCACAACAGAGCCACACCAGTCTGGCCTTGGGATGTGGATACAGGTTAAGCATGTGTTAGACTCTTCCTCACTTGTGACAAATACCCAAGAAGCCATTTAAAGGGGCAAAGGTTTCTTTAGCTCCTGGTTGGCTGGCTCCATTGCTTTTGGTCTGCAGTGAGGCAGGAAATCAAAGCAGCTGAGGGCATGGTGGAGCAAAGCTGAATACCTCATGGCCACCAGGAAGCAGTGACAGGAAAGAGCTTGGGACAAAATGCACTCCCCCAACAATACAGCCATTGTACTGCCTCTGACTAGGCCTGCCTCTGAAGGTTTCCACCACCTCCCAGTAACGCCATCAAATTAGGAATGAGTGGACTGATCCACCAGGGGACTCAAAGCTATCATGATCCGCTCTCCTTTCCATGATTGGATCCACCATTGAGAGACTAAGCCTTCCTCATAGGAGCCTTTGGGACCATGAAAGTCTCCATAGTCAAAAGCTCTGAAATCTAAAGTGCAGACAAAATCAGACCCCAGGTACTGACACTACATGCTGTAACAGTTTGTATCACACACAGAATTATTTGAAACATGGATTGTTTCCTCTGCCAGTGTATATGAGGTACACAAGAAAATGGGTTGTGTGTTCACATCTCCAAGGCATTTAAGTGTTTGGTATTGTTGCAGGAATCCAGTAAGGGGTTCTCAGCCACTGCCCAGGGCTCCCTTAGTCATCTCCTTCAGCCTTGCCTATGCCTGGCACGTGCTCCAGAGTGTGGTCTCCAGTCAAACCAACAAAGGTCATAGTGTAGAATGAGGTGAATGCAGCTTTGGGGGACTTTGGCCAACCCACTATTGAGGGTGTGAAGGTGGCTCTAGTTTTTTTTCCCTCTGACTCCCCAGCCTCTCCTCAGTTTCTGGTCTTTTAAGCTGTAGCTCGCTGTGACCCATTCTGAGGGAGTGGGACTAGACAGATTAGGAGGCCAATGTAGGTCTCTTGAAATAGCTCCTGGGCTGCTAGGTGTCTCTGCCTGCACAAGACCTGCCTGGCTTTAGTGGTGTTGGCTTTGAAGTGCTCAGGTCCACATGTGGTGGCCATGGGAAGACTTCCCCGAGCTCTTCTGTAAGTCATGCTGCTGTTTTCCCTTTTAGATCTGCGGGTGGCATTTGACATCGTGTGTGACAATGTGGGGAGAGACTGGAAGAGACTGGCCCGTCAGCTGAAATTGTCTGAGGCCAAAATTGACGGGGTTGAGGAAAGGTATCCCCGAAGCCTGAGTGATCAGGTAAGGGAGACTCTGAGGGTCTGGAAGATTGCCGAGAGGGAGCAAGCCACGGTGGCTGGACTGGTAAAGGCACTGCGGGCCTGCCGGCTGAACCTGGTGGCTGACCTGGTGGAAGAAGCAGTGCAGGCCCAGGGGTCTGTGAATGAGAGTGAGGATGTGTCCCCAGTGCTGTGGGACCCAACCGTGTCTTCCTCAGAAGCACTGTGACAAGCCTGCTGCTCCTGTCAGGAGTCACTGTGGACTTGATAACACTCCGTGCTGCATCGCCAAGTGCCTTAGTTCCCAGTGCCAAGAAAGAAGACCTTGTGGATCCAGGCCAGAGCCCGCTCACAAGCTTGAACTGGCTCCTGAAGCAAAGCTGTATGTATAGAACCTCTGCTCCCTGAGCTTTGGGGACACATGGAGGTTTCCCTTCGTGTTCTCCACTGCTGCTCCTTCCCCTGAGAGAAGTCCCTGGTCTCGCAAGGAGGAAGGTGGAGCTGATGGCACACGTGTTGGAAGTTTGAGAGCCTTCCTGTTGTTCCCCGGGGAAGGACACAACTCAATTCAGAGCACTTGGCTGCCTCACAGTTGGCCCTGAGGACATCTGTCCCATTTCCTTGGAGGCCATCAGAGAGCAGCACCTGCCCCCCAAACAAGTGGTCCTTGCAGGAGCCTGGCACACCTCATCCTGGCACAGCAGCTCCTGCAGGACTGATTCTAAAATCCATTGCCTACCCACATTGCTGCCTCTGGGAAGGACTGGTTTAAAGGGTGGCCCGCCTGTTTCTACCATGGCCTTCAAACAAGTACCCTGGGCCTAGATGTAGTGGCTCACTCTGAAATCCTAGCACTGGAGAGTTGAGAATTGCTGCACTCCATGGCAACTTGAATGAGAGCTGCACATGAGACCGTCTCACACAAACAAAAGCAAGTGTCTACCTGGAGACACCTGTGTCACCCAGGATTTCCTCTGTGTCAAGGACCCTTCTAATCTCAGAAGTAGGACAGGGCTGACTACAGTGTCCTGACAGCCCTAGGTGCTAGTTGTGAATGGGGTGGTGGGATTTCCTGTCTGGTTTGCTTCACATCAGCAAGGGGCCCTGACTTGCCACACCTTTGGCTGGGTACACCTTTGATCATAGCACTCAGGGAGATAGAGGCAGGTGAATCTCTGATCTGTTAGTTCAAGAACAGCCTAGCCTACATAGCAGACTACAGACCAGCTGAGACCATGTGGAAAGACACTATCTCAAAAGTTCATGTCTGGAGTTGAGGCTCCTAGACACAGGGTTCACCTGACAGTGAAGAGCGGCACCTCGAACTGTACCCTCCCCAGCCCCAGGCCTACTGTGCTTTTCAGTCCAACACCTATCCATCTGGCTGATCTGCCTTGCTCAAACTCTTGGCCATCTAGGCCTCTCCTGACCACTCTGGGGACTCGTCCAGTTTTCTGACCCCATATCCCACCTGGCTGTAGCCACAACCCTCTTATCTTGGCTCCCTAGAATATGCAAAGGCCTGTTCAAGGTGTCTGGTGGGTGTTTGCTGTGCTCCTCTCTAGTCCCTCCTCCTTGTCCCCCATTTTGAGGGTTTTGGGTTTGTTTTGAAACAGGGTGTCTTGTAACCCAGATGTTACTTGGGTTGGCCTTATAACTGAAGTGACCTTGAACTCCTTCCTGACCATCCTGCCTCTGCTTCTCAAGTGCCATCGTCACCAGTGTGGCAGCCTCACCCAGGCCCAAGTCTTTAGGGCCCACACTGTAGGCAGCCTGGGCAACCCCACTGAGACTCTTGGTGATGCCTTTTAAGTGTCCTGTGGCAAGTCACAGGTTGGTAGACTTGGATGTCACTTTTTTTCTTTTTCTTTTCTTTTTTTTTTTTAACAGCTCAGGAGTCCAAAATGGCTCTCCAGAGGTCAGTTCAGATATGAGCAGGCCTGTCTGTGTCCTTCTCGATTTGAGAGAATGTTCTATGGCTTTTGGAGCCCCTTCATTGTGTCGCTTGCTGCATTCCCCTCCCCTCAAGTGACAGTTTAGTATCGGGTCTCAGTTGCTGCTGCTACAGAGCTTGTGGGCTACCACAGGAAGACCCTTCAACCATGTTGGGGATTAAAACATGGGTATCATCAGGGACAGCACTCCACAAATCTGCATCTACCCAGCTTGTGCCCAGATTTGTCCTGGATGCATCAACACAATCCCACTCCCCTGTTAATGACCAGCCAGAGCCCACACTCACCTTGCCTACCCTTCACTCCTCAGCTCCTAGCAGGACCTTGGCTCCTGCCCATCCCCCACCAAGGGTTGGAACCACAGACCCGCCTGTTCCTAGAAGCCAGCTGCCCTGCATATTTTTAGCTTCCTATTTTTGAATTCCACAATCATTTCTGAGTCATCCAGCTGACTGCCTTCTGGTCACAAGGTCCCCGTGTGGACCATATTTCAAACCAGACAGTGGAACATGATGTGATGGAATGTGTGATGTAGCCACCATGAACCATGGCCTTCCAGTAGCGGATGCAAAGGCAGTACTAGTTTGCTGGAAGATGTGGGCTAGGAAGCCCACATAGTCTCAAGTCATGTGCTGAGTGGAGGCTGGCCTGAGGGATACTTGCCGGCCACAGGACTCACTATTACCAAGGCTTCACTGAGCCAAAGCCAAGTGACAGGGCTGGAGGTTTTTGAGTGTGGCTAGAACAGGACAGCATGGTGGGCATATGTGTGGAGGTCCACAGCTCCCAGACTCCCAAAGTCTAAATCAACTGTAGAGATGATGTATAGTCCTTGTCCATCAAAATAAAGCAGGCATGCTGCTCATTCCTGGTGTCCCAACACTGGAGACTGAGGCATTGCTGCGTTTATTTTTAAGACCATCCTGGGCTACACAGACCTCATCTCAAACAAAAAGCCAGGTGTGGTGTGGTGTATACACCTGTAGTCCCAGCACTTGGGAGGCTGAGTGGGAGGGGCAGTTCCAGGTAGGGTCTCTTACTGAGTCCAAGTCCAGTGTAAGCTGCATGAGACCCTATCTCAAAAAACCACCAACCCCACAGCCCAAAAAACCCCACACTGCATATTGGGTAGACACAGGACTCCTATAGAGTGCAGAAGACAAGTCCCTGTGCTCAATAGTGACTACAGCAGGTCAATTCCAACTTTCGGGTCCCTGAACTGTGTGATAGTTATAGTTAGATGGGCCTGTTATGTGTTTTCTCAGCTGGTCGATGTGCACCTAATTACATTGTTAATCTGAATTCTGTATCTTTGGCAGGCTTCTCATTTATTGGTGGTCATGAGGTCTGGGAGACCTCAGTCCAGTTTTTTATATAGCCAAGTTCTACTGGTAGTGAAAGCACAGGGCAGTGGCACTTTTTCCCATGGGTCTCCTGGCTGGAGGCGTAGGACACAGCTAGTGCCCTCCAGATGAGGTCATCAGTCAGCACACATACACTACATTCCTCTCTCTTGCCTGTTCACAGCTAAAACCCAGCTCATACACCTGATGGAAGCTAAAACTGTCACCAACTTGATTATAGACCCCAGGCTAGTCTTGTTCCTACCATCCTTGTGTCCTTGATGGACCAATCAGGTCCATCCCAGCAGCTTCTGAGTAAAGTCTTTGCTTCCTCTGAGTTTGCACAGACATATTGAAAGGCCCATGTGTCCCCTGGCTTTCCCACCAAGCAGGAAAAACACATGCAAAGATGCTTCTTTTCACTAGAAGGCCAACTTGGACAATAATAGTCATCCTCCGCGATCAAGTGTGTCTATTGGTGCTATGCCCATCCATGGTTCCCCTACAGCCCTGGCCCAGGATGCAGAGGAGATACTCCCCACTTGCCGTATTTCCTCAGGCCCCTGGAGGGGTGGAACTCCCCAAGTAAATCAGTGGCTGCTTGCACAACCTCATACTGTAACAGACCTCCAGACCTTAGCATAACTGACTCCATGAAGGAAGTGCCATTCAGACTGTAACACTCAGCACATAGACAGCACTACCTGTCAAAACAAAAAGACCTAATCCATTAAAGTCCATAGTTCTAGGAAAGTCTCTAAATGTATTAACCTTGCTTTTTGGCTTCTGTAGTTCTGCTTCTGGCTAACTGTTCTTGATAACCGAAGTATGTCAACGCAGGGTAGAGTTTTTGTGCTTAAAAGCTCACACTGAGCCGGGCGGTGGTGGCGCACGCCTTTAATCCCAGCACTCGGGAGGCAGAGGCAGGCGGATCTCTGTGAGTTCAAGGCCAGCCTGGGCTACCAAGTGAGTTCCAGGAAAAGGCGCAAAGCTGCACAGAGAAACCCTGTCTCGAAAAAACCAAAAAAAAAAAAAAGCTCACACTGAAAAAGGCTCAGGGCCCCACTGGCATTTCAAATACCCAGTGTTATCACCAGCTAAGACTTTCTTTTGGTGTAAGCCTGTGTCTAAGTAGTCTTTTCTGGTGGACACCCGACAGCAATGCTTTCTGGGTGCTCTGGGCTGTTTGCTTCATTTATTCTCAGCAGTGGGCTCACTGCTTAGACATCCTGCTTGCCCACTAGTCTAGGACCCACACCTCCCAGCCTCAGCTTTCAGATGCTAAAGGTCACCCTCAGGACTACTGGGTCACTTGGTGGGCTGTACATCTTAAGACTAGAGGCAGGCCAGTTGTGATACATGTATAATCCCAGCACTCAGGAAGCTGAAGCAGAAGAATCTAGACCAGCCTGGGGTGTATGGTGAGATCCTGTGTGTGGCTCCCACCTATGATTCCAACACCTGGTAGGCTGACACAGGAGGACTGCTACAAGTTCAAAGCCAGAAAGACCGTATCCAAAAGAAAAAAAAAAAAAGCCTAAATAATATCTAGTTGCCAAATAAATAAAGGCTTGGCTGTAGTTCAGTAAAGTGCTTGCCTAGCATGCACGAAGTTCCAGGTTCTAGTCCCAGCACCACATAAACCAGGCATGGCTTCAGAATGGTCATAGCCACAGCAGCCTATATTGGGGGAGCATGCTGAGACCATGCCAACTCCAGGGGACCACTGTACATAAGCCATGCTCCTGCCCCTAGGAGGCCTTGCTCCAGGCACAGCTGCATTAGACAACAGCCAGGCCCAAGCCTGGATGCCTTCACTGACTGGCCATCTTCAATCCTTGGAACTCAGTGGGAAGTCTGTAACTGGAAACTGTTGTGATTGGTGTGGATACAGTGCTTCATCTGCATGCTGCACCCTTGCCGCAACACCCTCCTTCGCTGCTTTCTGGTGTTGCAGTATTAGGCCCAATGAAAGGCTTTTCCCCATAAGCAGAAGTAGCCACTGCTCCACAGCAGCAATTTTAGCAGTAGGAGGCCCAGGCAAGAGGCTAGTCACTGCAAGTTCCTGGGAGCTGCCAGCCCGTGAAGGATGCAGGCACCCAGAGCTTAGGAGTTGTAGCATAGCCGCTGCTAATGCTGCTGTTGCTGGCTGTAAGCCGGTAACCTGTGTCCCTAGGAGGAGTGTCCAACTTGCAGTCCATGGGGCGCATGTGAAAATTTATTGTGTGTGTGAGCATTCCTGCCATAATGTGCAGACAGAGGTCAGGGGACCACTTGGTGGAACTGGTTTTCTTTTTCCATCTTTTTTTAGGTTCTGGGGATAGAACTCAGGTTGCCAGGTGTGCACAGCAAGAACCTTAACCTGATGAGCCATCTCACCTGCCCTGAGGATGCTTTTTGTATTTCTATTGTTTGATTATTTGGTAACTTGATTATAATTCTGAAGTGAATTTTGGAGATCACATCCTCCCTGGATATCTGAAGGTTGGACTCACACACCTCCAGGCCATCAGTCTCTGCCTCTGAAGCCCACAGTCATCCCTGTCTTGGAGAGGCTTGGAGCTATAAGCCCGTCTCACTGTCCTAGCCTTCAGCCCTCTGGACCCAGGACTACTAACATCAGAAGGACTGCCTTCACCTCCTGATTGCTCTGTACTACAGCCTTCTGGCTGGTACATCTGGTGAGGAGATTGTGCTTGTGCCCTTCAAGTACTTCTCTAGCTTCAGGCTGGGCTGAAGGAGCAAGAGGAGACTCAGCCAGTGAGAAACAACCAGGGTGGTGTATGTGGACAGTGGTGGGAGGAGGGCTTGGGTGGTGTGATGTGACAGCAGCAGGGAGCAGTCTAGGGAGCCTTGCAAGCTTACAGGATGGGGTGCAGAAGGGATGCTGGGGTGGTGTGGTCTTGAGTTCTGTAAGAACTCCATGGCCTCTGCATCAGCTTCTGCCTCCAGGTTCCTGCCCTGTTTGAGTTCCTGTTCTGACTTCCTTCAGTGATGGACTATGATGTGGAAGTATAAGCCAAATAAACCTTTTTCTCTCCAACTTGCTTTTTGGTCATGGTGTTTCATTACAGCAATACTAACCCTGACTAAGACAGACCCTGTCTCAAAAAAAAAAAAAATTTATAAAGCAAAGTGCAGGCAGGTGGTAGTGTCAAATGTCCTTAATCTCAGCACTCAGGAGTCAGAGGCAGGCGGATCTCTGAGTTCAAGGCCAGCCTGGTTTACAGAGTGAGTTCCAGGACAGCCAGGGTTACACAGAGAAACCCTGTCTCGAAGAAGAAGAAGAAGAAGAAGAAGAAGAAGAAGAGGAGGAGGAGGAGGAGGAGGAGGAGGAGGAGGAGGAGGAGGAGGAGGAGGAAAGTAAAATGATTGACTTCACTAACTTGCACCATTTTATTAATTTTTAAAGTTTTTATTACATTTTATATATTTGTAGAAGGGCACTGATGCATGATATATGTGTGGAGGTTAGAGGATACCTTGCAGGAGTTGGTTGGTTCTCATTCCACCTGTGGGTCACAGGGGTTGAATTCGGGTTTTCAGGTTTGACTGCAAGTGCCCTTACCTATGAAGCCATCTCACTGGCCCTCTTTCCTGCCTTGGGAAAGTCTCACCTACAATTAAAATGGGTCTTCCCACATAAATTAATGTAATCAAGATAATTACCCACAGGCTGCTTGAAGGTTCATCTCCCAGGTGATCTGGATTCTGTCAAGTTGACAGTTCACATTAACCATCACAGTTGGGTTTCATAAGATAAGCAGAAGTTCCCCAGGAAGGCAAACAGTTCAGTCCTAGGAAACTGTGGGAAAGGCCACAGGGAGTGAAATTAGAGGGGTTAGCTGGCCTCAGGCAGGAGATTAACAGTTGGAGACCAGCCTAGGCTACATAGTCAGACTCTATCCAAACTACCACCCCCATACACACACCCCACCAAACAAGGAAAAGCTGTGTGGCGGCACACACTTGATGCTCAGGAGGTGAAGGCAGGAAGATCAGTGTTCAAACCCAGCCTAAGCCACATAATGAGTTCCAAGCCAGCATGGACTTCAGGAGACCTTGCCTCAAAAAAACAAAAGGAGCCAGGCATGGTGGCACACAACTTTTTTTTTTTTTTTCGAGACAGGGTTTCTCTGTAATTTTGCGCCTTTCCTGGAACTCACTTTGTAGACCAGGTTGGCCTCGAACTCACAGAGATCCGCCTGCCTCTGCCTCCCCAGTGCTGGGATTAAAGGCGTGTGCCACCAGCCGGGCGGTGGTGGCGCACACCTTTAGTCCCAGCACTCAAGAGGCAGAGGCGGGCAGATTCCTGAGTTGAGGGCCAGCCAGGACTACATAGAGCATCCCTGTCTTGAAAAGAAAGACAAAAGAGGGAATGGAAAAAAGAGGTAGACAGAGTGGGGGGAATGAGAAGAGGAAGTAGGGAGGGAGGAAGAGAAAGATGGCTAAACAAACAGATTTCCAGAGTGCTGCCTCACCCCACCCCCGGCTGGCTTGAGGGCCACGTGGTGATGTCTGT